TCAGCTGTAACCTTTAAGCTCAGTCAGTCGTTTCGCTGTTTTGGGTGATATTCATAAATTTATGCCTTTGAAATTTGGATTGGGGCGGCTGGGCAGCAGAGTTATTATTGGGGGCAATTCATTTTTTTAATTGGGGGCAAATGCTTAAACTTCTAATATTTACTAATAATTTATATGGTTTTACTAGACTTTTATTGGGGACAGCTGCCCCCACACCATCCTTGCTACATCCGCCCCTGCATAGTAGTCAATTGTTTTTGTGTTGAGTGATTATTTGAATTTATATAAGACTTAATGGAGACTCCAAAGAGGCACTTAATATTTGTATTTAGATAGTTTCGAAATAAACTTTCTCATCTAAAAAAAGTAAAATTTCATTCAATAACTAGTGTAACACCCGGGGCATGCCCCGGTAGTGTTAATTTGAAATGGGTGATGTGACAAATATAGATAACCATTGTGAATTATTCATAGGATATGATCAAAATTTTAGCTATAATCGATTTCTTTTACTCCCTCTGTCGCTTTATATTTAACCAAACATTATTTTTTAAGTCAATGGTGTTGAACTTTAACCGATTATATATTTATATACAGTAGTAATGATAATATGGAAATGATATGAAAATGTTCTTTGTTAAAACTTCCTGCTCAGAAAAGTATAAATTTATTAAGTTTCACATAAATATATTTGTTAAAATTATATATATATATATATATATATATATATATATATATATATATATATATATCAAAGTCTATCATTTTTTTTTGAAAAAGTCAAATATGGCTAAATAAAGAGGGACAAAGGTAGTATGAACTAACCACCACCATAGAATAGGGATGATGAATCACCATCTTTTGGAGTATGAATTTGAGGTTATATTGTGATTTATGTGATTAGTATTGTAATAGTTATTAATTATTTATATGACTAATTATATCATGAGGATGATTATAAGTAGTGTTGAATTGGAATTGGGAATATGTAGAGCTTACAATTTTACATTATTTTGGATATTCATGTGTATTATTGGTGTTGTGCGATTAGAGTCCCGTTCGCGTGAACTAAAAATCCATGATTTAAAAATTTAGTCTTAAATTAAAGCCTCACTCAAATGTGTAAGATTAAATTTTATGATTAGAGTCCTATTACATGTATTAGAGATTCAAAGTCTCATTATTTAAAAAATTGATGTTGTAAAATTATTTTGGAAACTGAATTCACATGGTATTTATTCCGAGAATTATACTCCATTAATATGGTTGATATTAAGAAGTTGTTATATTTTCCGGATATGAATATTTATGATGTGAAATTTTTAAGATCTGATTTTTTACTGAATAACATACAAATAATGACTACAATAATAACAGTATTCATGATTAACTTCAATGGAAGCAACGTACAATAATAACCTACAAAAATATTTAGATTAAATTGAAATCATCATAATAGTAAAAATAATAAATTATGTCTGAACTTTTATGATTTGAATTTTTCTGATCTGAATTTTCCTGATTTAATCTAATCTAGATTGAATATTTTGGGCTAATATTATTTGACTTTTTATTTGATTTTGTCTGAATAAATTAAGAATAAGTAATACAAAGTAAACAATAAGAATAAGAGTAACATAATAGCTTCTAAGGATATGTTTTTTTACGTTTTTTCTCCTACTTTTCTCTAGACTTGTTCATTAGCCGTTTCATCTTTGTACGAACTAATTAAATGATTTAATGTTTGGAGTCTACATAATGTCAAATGTTAGTTATTTATCGTTTTTCCTCCTTTTTTTCTCCATTTTCCATTATAGCTATTCCATCTCCTTTTTTGACCAGATCTCCTTTTTGTTTGGAACTAATTAAATGTTTTCATAATAATGACAATAGATTTTTTGTTAATCAATAACATAGTGATATGTCATCAGTTTGTAACCCTGCTTTACTAAATAAAACAATAGATTTACATATATAATGAAAATTAGATTCCTAATATGTGTCATGACTACTGTGTAAATGTGCACTTCCCATAATGCAAATTTAAACCCTTTCACTATAAATTTGACATATCATTGATTTATTACTCAAATTTTACAATAATTTTTTTATATATGCAATTTGTTGTCAGATGAAAGATCATAAAACTTTATGATTTTTGGTACACTTTTTGTAAAATTTATATCATATGAAAGATCATAAAAAGTTTGAAATTTTGATGTATTTTTTTTCTAAAATTGTGAGTACAGATAAATAAGTTATAATACATTAAAATAAGATTTTTCTCTCATTCCCTTTCTCAGAATGATGAGCGATGCATGTAGTGAATAACAATGATGAACCGAGTCAATTTATATGATATATATATATATATATATATATATATATATAATATTGGTGTCATAATAAAGATCTTAAAAAGTTATGAATTTCGATATATTTTTTGTAAAAATTGGATTATAAATATAAAAGTTATATCACTTTAAAAAAGAGAGAGTTTTTCTCCTATTTTTGCTCTAAATCAATCGTAATGCAAGATTTTTAAGTGTGATAGACATTGAATTAATTAATTGTTTTAATTGTAATGATAATAGAACTTGAATTATCCAATAAGAAGTTGACAAGTCATTGTTTTTTAACTCAAGTTTACTATATAAAACTATAGATTGTGCCTCGTTATCCTACCCATATTTTCCATTAGAGTTCCATTTTGTGTACACGTCGAGGTACACATTACTCAAATTCTCTGTGTACAGACAATTTGATCGACGTTTTACGTAGAAAACCGATTTCCACAGTGACAAAAATAAAAAGTTGCCTATATCACAAACATTTTAGACGAGAATTTTTCATAAAATGTCTGTAATACAGACAATTTCAAACGAAAATTTAAACGAGAATTTTAAAATGTTTGTGATACAGACAATTTTTTTAGTTTTATCTGTGTGAAAATCGGTTTTCTTCATAAAACGCCGGTCAAATTGTCTGTGAACAGAAAATTTGACCGGCGTGTAACCTGGTGTGTAAAAGGTGACGTGTACAAAGAAAATTTTCCTTTCCGTTAAAGTTACGAGCATATAAAACTGTGTCCTCAAAATGATTGAAAGTTAAACTTTGGATAATTAGATTTTGTTAAAATATCTATCTCAAGAAAAAAGTAGCAATGCTCCAACCTATTCTTCATCAATCATCACCGGCAAGCAACTCAAAAGTCCAACTCTACGAAGAACAGCATGTAGTTTAGGTCTAATTATGTCATTATTACAATATTAGGTAAGATAAGTTAAAAAAATCATTCTTATTGTTATATATTTATAAAGAAGATTAAGATAAATCGTGATGGGACAATCATGATTTGCTGTATAAAAAAGGTGACAAATCGGGTACTCATTTAAAAAATAGACTACCGTACCTATCATACACTTGATTGGTCTGAATCATTATATCATTTTTAATTTAGATTTAAATAATTCAACTGCATCATTATGATTGGTCTATGTGGACAAAAGTACCGTACAAAACAATCTACGAAGTACTCCCTCCGTTCCTAAAAATTCTTCCCGGTTTGACTTGACACGCTTATTAAGAAAGTGGAATAAAGTGGAAATGTATGATTATGGTTATGTAAGAAAAAGGTAAAATGAATGTGAGCCACACAAATTGTCCAAAATGGGAAAGTGAGAAGTATTTTTGGGAACAACCCAAAAAGGAAAGTGAGAAGTATTTTTAGGAACGAAGGTAGTACAAAACAAAAAGCTCAAGCGGCCCTCCTTACATGTTGCCATTTCTTGGGATTGATGTTCAAACTTCAAACAATTTTAGTGGCAGTAAAGGACATCAAGAATATTTCTTTATTATTAGTTCACTCTTTAATAAAGAGAAAGCAATTCCTTTTTCAGATTGAAGCGCTAATATTTGTACCCTTGGAGCATAAGAGCATTATCCATTCTTTCACAACCTATGAAGCAAACAAATTGATTCATCTCCCTCTCTATCTCCCAAAGTATCCCATCTGGCCAGTCTGATTAGCTAATTTCCTTCTAAGAATTTATAACAGCCCTCCAAGACTCCAAGAAAAAGCTAGTAAGGATTTCCAAAATGTCACAACCCCAAGTTAATCCTATTAATACATACATAACACCACCTTCATCCGTTTCAAGCTCTAATTCCGATTCCAACGGCTCGTTCGGACCGGTTTTTGTCGTATTGGCTGTAGTGGTTGTGCTTTCGGCCATTGCGTGCGTGTTTGGACGAGTATGCAATGGCCAGAAGAACCCGAAAGGCGCAAAAAAGGAGCATAAAAAGGGTAAGAAAGGCGAGGAGCCTAAGGCGAATAATCCGATTGCTCACACTCTTGATCACAAAGAGTGGGGGCAGCCTAGGAAATTCCAAGATGAAGGAGATATAGAAATTGGGTTTGATGTGAAGAGAAAGCCAAAGCCCTCTTCTAATAAGGTACATGAAGATCCAAGAGGACCAAAACCGTATCAGCATGGTCCTCAACGTGGTCAAGGTAAAGGGCCAGTGCGATTTGCTAATAATGTGTAGGTGATTATTAAGAAAAAGAAATGGTTTGTGACACTTAATTGTCTCTCTTTAATTAGCTAATTTTTGTTTTCGTGTAGCTATTGGCATGGTTTCATATAATTGCCATGTTCCTATTTTAAGCATGGAATTTTCAGTGTTTTGAAGCTTCCCTTTATACGCAGTTACTAGGCTTCAATTGGATGTATGGATCTTATATGCCAAGATTGGCATTGTCATAAAGTTAGTGTAATTTCTCACATCAAATAATTTAAGATATAAAAATGACTTATATATAAGATCTAATATAGAACTAAATAACTACTACCTCCGTCCCAAAATGATGGTCTAGTATTTCCTTTTTGGGATGTCCCAAAATAATGGTCCTGTTTACCTTTTTGAAAAGAAAGATGTGGTCCATATCATTTGACTTTATTATACTCAAATCTCAACCACAACTTTTACCTTTTCAACCACTTTATTAAAATTTATGCCCAAAAAGAAATGAGACCATATAACTAATATAACTAGTTGAGTTCAGTCATGATATTAGAGCAGTACCAATCCGATCCACTCCATTTGTCAACACAAGTCATTACATGGTTACTTGAGTAATGGACTAATGGTGGATGCATGGTAGTTAATCCCACAAGTTAAGCAATTAATTGTATTCAAATGACTATTAAAACTAGGCTAAAGGGTCAAATATGTCCTCGAACTAACTTAAAAAGTGCAAATCACTCATTATATAGGAGGCTCTGTCCGACCATCGCCATTTGGGGCGGTTCCCGGTGGATTTTTTTGATGAAATTTTTTATGCATCTTCTTATTAAGTCTAGTTCACCCATACCAAATTTGAGATAAAAATTCAACGAGGAAGACAGTCAAATGATTTTTCAGAAATGTACTGCGCTGTTAAACAACGCAGTTATCTTCAAAAATTCATTTGACTGCATTCCCGATTGATTTTTTAGCTCAAATTTGGTATAAGTAACTTAGATTTAATGAAGAAGATGCTCAAAAAATTTCATCAAAACATTTCACCGGGAACCGCCCCAAATAGCGACGGCCGGATAAACCTCCTATATAAGGGGTGATTTGCAGTTTTTAAGTTAGTTTGAGGGTCTATTTGTACCCTTTAGCCTTAAAAGTAACACCTTACAGAACTACATTAAAACTATATTATTGGGATGTTCCTCATCCCCGGATTCTTTCATTTTTGTTCCCACAACAAGTCCATTTATTCTAAAAATGAAAGTGCGAATAGAACAACTAAACCAGAAAGTTCAAAATGATGGAGTTGATTCATTTGTAGAGTTCCATGACCCAAGTGTTGAGAGCGAAATAAACCTTGCGAAACTGTTTGAAACCGGCACCCTTAGCGAGGACCTCAAATTCTTTTTCAGTCCTCTCTTTCCCGCCGGGACAATATGCTAACATGAGGATATCAGATTGGATCACACTTTTGTCCGCTTGGGAGGTGTCTGATTGTTCTGGTAGAATGCACTCTGCTATAATCACTTTACCATCTTTCGGAAGTGCTTCAAAGCAATTCTTCAAGATTTTCAGACAATGATCATCACTCCAATCATGACATATCCACTGCAAATAGATTATAGATCACATATAATTAAGCATGCACTAAATAATTTCGAGCAAGTTCAATAAGATGAAATTTAGAACAATAAGCTAAAGTTAATAAAAGGGCTAAAGGGTCAAATAGGTACATGAATTAACTTAAAGTGTTCAATTACTCCCTTATATAGGAGGTTCTTCTCGGCCGTCGCTAATTGGGGTGATTCTTGATGGAATTTTTTGATAAAATTTTTTGAGCATCTTCTTCATTAAGTGTAGTTTACCCATACCAAATTTCAGCTAAAACTTCAATCGGGAAGGCAGTCAAAAGATTTTTTGAAGATAACTGCGCAGTTAAACAGCGCAGTACATTTCGGAAAATCATTTGACTGCCTTCCCGATTTATATTTTAGCAGAAATTTGATTTGGGTAAACTATACTTAATGAACAAGATTCTAAAAAAATTTCATCAAAAAATGCCATCGAAAACCGTCCCAATTGGCGACGGTCGGACAGAACCTCCTAAATAAGGGGCTAATTGAACACTTTAAGTTAGTTCATGTACCTATTTGACCCTTTAGCCTTAATAAAAGAGACAACAACAATTTAGAGCATTTAGCTAAGTCACTGCACATGCCACGGTGAAATTGGCATGTCAGGTTCCAAATCATCAACCATAAAGACGTGGGAAAATTGTCCTAAATAAGAGTAAATGAGGTTTGAAATTTTAAAATAGGGCTACTATGTTTTGCTTCCCGAAATAGGAATTGTTTCTGTCATGTATGGAAAATACTGCAATGATTGAAAAATACTGTCATTAATTATAATAAATACTGCCATGTTAAATGCACTGTACTGCAACTATTTGACAGTCACGTACGTCTACAGTATGACAACGAATACTGTTATGTTAGTCCTATTTCGGGAATAAAAACATATAAAGTAGTCCTATTTTGGAATGCCAAACTTCATTTACTGCTATTTTGGAAAATCTCCCTAAAGAATTTCATGTCAATTTCCATTTCATAGACTCTATTTACATGACTACGAACATTATATATTTGTTGGGATTGGAAAATTCTTCTATTCTAAGTGTATTTCACTCTTCACACACTTTTCTCACTTTAGAAACTGTTACTAATGAACAACATGTAGCACTCTATTTATAGGACTAATTTGGAGACAAGAGTAAGTTGCATCCAAGCTCCCATTCACATGGCAATGGAGTTTCCTAGCTATCTCCAAATAATTTTCTCCCATGTTTATATGTTGGAAATCTCCTTTCCAGAACGTGATAGATGTCTCTTGACAACTTCCAAGAAAGAGAGTAGAAGATCCCTACAATTCCCCACCCCACCTTTTTCTTAATTTCTCTCGTTCCTGCGATGCTCGCTAGCTCCCCCTCGCCGGCAACAAATATCCATTCGGATGTGGATTATTTTCTCTGTGGAGCTATGCCTCGCATAGAACGCCAAACATGAGTACCTTCAGCTTCGTCTTCAGATGAAGGCTCCCCCTACTGAGGAATATCATCACTGTGATCACCATCATTATCTACTGAACCATCACTCTCTTGTTCAGTATTATCATGCATCTCCTTGTCGCTGAGAGGAATGTTTGATTATACACGGACTTCGTCTTCTGGAGTATGTTTTTAGCGGATTATTGGAGCACACTCATGAAACTTGTTTTCATGAAATACAACATCTCTGCTTCGTATAACTTTCTTCACTTTGGGATCCCACAACCGGTATCCAAATTCTTCATCTCCATAACCGATGAAGATGCATGGGTTTGACTTGAGATCAAGCTTCTGTCTCAACTCCTTGGACACATGTGCAAATGCTTTGCACCAAAACACTTTCGAGTGAGAGTAAGAAACAACTCTTAGTGACCATTTCTTCTCTAGAACTTCAAAATTTAATTAAAGTGACAGAAGGTGACCTATTTATCAGATAACAAGCAGTCAGTACAGCTTCACCCCAGAATGGCTTGGGTAGTTTAGACATACTCAACATGCAATGAACTTTCTCGACAATGGTTCGGTTCATTCTTTCGGCTACACCATTGTGTTGTGGAGTTCGTGGAACCATCTAATCATGTATGATTCCACATGCAGCGCAATATGCTGAGAATTCACGGGAAGTGTACTCTCCTCCATCGTCTGAACGTAGACACTTCAACTTCTTCCCTGTTTCTCTTTCTACCATGGCATGAAATAGTTTGAAACGATCAAATACTTGTTCTTTACTTTTTAGACAGTAAGCCAATCCCTTTCATGATACATCATCAATGAAAGTCACGAAATATCTACTTCCTCCAAGTGACTCCTCTTCAATGGGTCCACATACATCAGAGTGGACAAGATCTGGAACGTGTCGAGCATCTTTCAACACAAGTGCGCATCCGACATTGGTTGTTATGTGCACATCACCAATTCCAACAATCTTCGAGAAACTGGTGTTTCCCATCTTCACAGCTCGAAAGTCTCCAGACTTATAAGATGTGGATAAGGTTTTGTGTGGAGTGGCATGAAATGATGCGGATGTATCAACCACCCACTCAACATCATGAGTACATACATTTAAACATTCTTGTTCACCATGTGTAACAAGCAATACATCTAATGACAAACTAACCATAGTCGCACCATCTTCTTGGCTAGTATTTTGACTCGTCTGTGGCTGCTCTAAGTGTATTTCACTCTTCACACACTTTTCTCACTTTAGAAACTGATACTAATGAACAACATGGAGCACTCTATTTATAGGACTAGTTTGGAGACAAAAGGAAGTTGCATCATAGCTTCCATTCACATGGCAAGAGAGTTTCCTAGCTATCTCCAAATAATCTTCTCCCATGTTTATATGTTGGAGACCCCCTTCCAAGAAGGTGATAGATGTCTCTTGGGAACTTCCAAGAAAGAGAGTGGAAAATCTCTACAATATTTAGTGTTTTACCCAAGGATACACATGGCAAGGGAGTTTCCTAGCTATCTCCAAATAATCTTCTCCCATGTTTATATGTTGGAGACGTCCTTCCAAGAAGGTGAGATGTCTCTTGGGAACTTCCAAGAAATAGAGTGGAAGATCCTTACAATATTTAGTGTTTTACCCAAGGATACACGTGTAAAGTAGCTCAATAGACTCTATTTAGCTATACAATTTCCAAGCCCGGTATAAATAACTCTCTAGTATATGATTTCTTCTTCTAACTAAACTTTAACTTGATAGTTATAATTTACACTTATTATTTATATTGATATCTCAGTCGATACTAAATTATATTATCAAATAATATCCTACCTTCATAAAAATGGCATCTCCTTCGGGCACACCCATAAACATGTCTCCACTGATATGCTCAATTCCTGAATAAATTATAATATGTGATACTTCCACTTAAATTTAAGTTTTGAAATGAAATAGACTAAAAAATTTAATTATATATGTGAGTGGTATACCGTGATAAGGAAGTGCATCATGAATAGCGTGAGGCAAATCAAAGTTAATGCCCTTAACATTAGGATGTTTAGAGAGAATCATGTTAAGAGTGACACCAGTTCCGCCACCCACATCCACCAAAGATTTGAGCCCTTCGAATCCATTGTAACCTTCTAGAATCTTCTTCATTGTAAGGGTAGAGAGGTCTGATATTCCACGGTTGAAGATCTTGTTGAATTTTGTGTCTTTACTGAGATATTCAAATAAACTCATCTCGTACGCCATGTTGAAAGGTATCCCGCCCTCAAGTATTGCTTCTCTTAAGAGATACCTTAAATTTGTGTGAACATTCATCACCAAGCTAATAGTGCAATTAAGAAAAATAAAATAAACTAAAACTATAACCCGGCCCGGTCCTGACATTTTAGAGACTCGAGACATGTTTAAAAAAAGCCCTTAATATGAGAAAGATGTAGAACAAGAGATGTTTACTATTAGTAATAAATTCATTAAATTAAATAAGATCAACCTCCTTCCTAAAACTAATACTCCGTAGTTCACAAAAACCAATTTCTTCTAATATTCTTAGAGGCAAAGTGCCAAAGTCATCTATGGCAGTATCAAAGTCAATCTTAACCAACATTGTCGTTTTCTCAATACATAAAATTGTGAAGCCATGAAATAATGCAATCTTTCTTCAGACATTGAAGCTTCAAAAGAGGCCCTCAATATTTGTTAACTTAAAAACACAACCCTTAAACAACCAAATGATATGTACATCAACAATCAAACCGCTGTGCAATGACAAAGTCTAAGTCAAAGTTAATCTTAATCAATTGTACACCTATCCAATTCTAATTCACTTCAAGGTTTTTAATTCAATCAAGATTTAGATTTTAATTCATTGCAGGGTTTTAATTTAATTTGAATTGTATATTTAGGATACCAATTGCTAACAATAATGCTAAACTTTTGCAAAAAAAACAATTTTGCTAAAATAGTTCGCATGAAGAGAGAAGAATATAAGATGGATGCATGGTTTAGAACTACAGTTTAAATATAGCTGGATTGAAATTGGAAGAGGCAAATTAAAGCTACTTACCAATTACCCTTTAAATATAATAGAGAAGAGAAGATTACCCTTTAAATGGGAAATTGGGGCTTTAAATTTTACTCCGTATGATTTTCTAGGCAAGAGAGGGAGAAGAGAATCCAAAGAGGCAAAACTACTTAGCAATTACCATTTCCTTAATCATCAAGACGCATAGGATGTTGTATGAACTACGTACGGAGTACATAGCATATATTATAGGTATAATTTATAGTATGGGACCTGGACTTGAGCCCCTTTGCCCTCTCTCCAGAACCGGCATTGACTATAACTGTTTAGTTTTGGTGTTGTATTAGAGGATCCATAATTAGAGTCCGTTTGGTGACCCCTTTTTCGGCTTATCAGGCTTACCAATCAGCTTTTTCACCAAACACGTAACCTTTGATTTCGCGCGCTGAATATTGTAATAAGCAAAAAAAGTAAGGTTAAAGTTACTTTTCTAGCTGTATTGGCTGAAGTTACTGTAGAGGATCATTTTAGCTATTTTTCATATATTTTTTTTATTTAATTTATTAATAACAAATATTTTAAATTTAATTTTTTCATGAATCAACAGAATCAGCCAATACAGCCACTTCAGCCAGAACTTCATAAATTTCAACAGAATCGGCCAATTCAGTCAATTTTAGTGTTACAAAACGGACTCTTAGTTTGGATCATTTTCGGGTACCTGTTATGGTCTATAATTAGATAATCATGCTACTTAACGCGCTGTATAAATCGCTTGCTCGGTTATATAATTAGTACACATTATTCCTACAATATCAGTGTTAGATAAAATTGGTAACAAATTGAGAAAGTTATTCAAACATATCATTGTATGAAATCGTGTAAGGTACAATTAAGGCGAGTGAGGTTTCTCAACTGGTGAGCCACCGGTCCCCCGAGGCTTATTGGCTTAACCAATGTACACTCACGTTAAGCATGCATAATGATCGAGATATGAGCGGTACGTTATTTTGAGCTTATATTCATGACAAACAGTAAACCATATTTGGACAAAGAAGTTCGTAAAATAAAGGCAAGAATCACTTTATTATTATTTAAGTTACATATTTGGGCAAAAGTAACAACACGAGTATCGAATAAAAAGAAAAAATATTACTTAAAAACGTTCCTTGTAGAACAATGTGAAGCAAATCATTAATAATTGCTTCATAGGCAAACTTCTTTCCACTAATAAATACTCCCTCTGTCCCAATTTGATGGTCTCATTTCTTTTGGGCACAAGTTTTAATAAAGTGGTTGAAAAGGTAAAAGTTGTGGTTGAGATTTGAGTATAATAAAGTGAAATGATATGGACCACATCTTTCTTTCCAAAAAGGGAAACAAGACCATCATTTTGGGACATCCCAAAAAGGAAATACAGAACCATCATTTTGGGACGCAGGTAGTATAACAATAAGTTATTGACCACTGATGAGGGTCTAAAGTTTGAAGTCTTGAAAAATGAAGGTTTTCAAAGAGACAAAATGTTTGGCTGCCAAGAGGATTCACGCAAGAAGATTTCAAATTTGACGTCCTCTAAAACAACTATTAGAAACTCAGATATAGCTTATTGAAATGTGGAAACAAATGAATAATTGGGGTGAGATTTGAGAGAAACGGGCTCTAAAATAATTATATAAATTTTTTATGTTATAATTAAATTGAATAAAAAACCTTTTTTTATTGTAAATTGAATAAAAAAACCTTAAAAGCTAAAAAGATGTGAGGACTGGAGAGATGCGTCTTTTATTTATGCAGCAACAATTGTATTGCTTTTAAAAACTACAACTGATCCTGCTAAAAATTAATGTATATATTCATTTTTAAACTTGGCTCTGTTTAAGACTCTTTATTGATATTTTAAATTTTCAAATTGTCAACAAAATTAATCATTAGACCTAATTAATTGAACTTAAGGATAAAAAAAGAAGCCTACTCACACTATATATAAAGAAAAAATTTGGACCTATTTTTTCTTCTATTTTTTCGGGCCTAGAGCGGTCGTCCCTCTTGCCCCCCCTCAGAACCGGCCCTGTATGTGAGGCTTAATTTCCTAAGTAACTCTTAAGGTGTTGATCAATATAATCAGTGACAATTTTGTTACGGGACATGTTGGGAAGTAATTAGAGACACACTTAGTTAATTGGAGTAGTGTGGCGCCATCCTAACCATCCATATTTTTAGTGGGGTGCCCCATTAAAAATATGAGTGATTAGAATGGTGCCACACTAACCAAGCATTCGAGTGCAGCTGGTTGTGAGGTTATCGTGCCTAGTGGGAGGTCTCGAGTTCGAAACCCGCTAGGCACATAAGGGTTTGAAACTCAATGGAGTGAGTTTCAGTCCTGATTACTCCAACCCCCAACCCCCCTCCCCCATACCCCCCTGAAGTAAAAAAAAAACAAAAGGAAAAAACTACCCATATGCCTACATAAGAGATCGAGTCATATGGTGCTCCATAAAACTACTCCTTAATTAAACCAAATATTAAAAGTATATATGCAAAACATTAATTAGTCGTGTTAGAAATGACAGACATCTCCCTTGCATTACGGTTCGTGCTTTGCCGTCTTTGGTGCGGCGATCGTATTTTAGCAGAGAAAGGTAATCGCTCACTAGCAGTAGACTTGCACCGATACCTCGTTGTGGTGGCCAATGGAGAAAACTTTGTGGAAGCCGAGGAAGGAAGGAGAAGAGGCGTCCAGAGAGGGGGAGGGTCCAGAGGGGGAGGGTCCAGCGGGTAAACTGATTGGGAAGCATGTTGGCCTGAACATTAGTGAAGCACAAGAAGAACGGGTGATCGATGAGGATGAAGAAGAGGCAGCCGAGCCGGTGGAAAACCGCTTTGGTGCGTCAACAATCATATCGGTGGTCCGGCCTCCTCCGGAACCACCGCCATGGGTTGTACGTTGGGTTAGGGTCGGTGAAAGTGTTCCTTTTAGTTTTTATTATTTTGTCATTTGGATTCTTGTTACCGGTTATGTTGTTGGTTTTTTCGGTTTGTTTGAGAATTTAGACTTTCTTTATGTCATTGATGTTTGGATCTATGAGAACATGGATGATTGTGTCAAGCCCACTACATGTTTAGCGATCCATGTTGCTCTTTCAGGGGGTGACCGTCTCTAAGTTTTATCATAAGGTTTACAGTCGTAGTTGTTGGAGTTTAGTTGGTGTCGGTTTTGTTTTTCCTTTGATTGATGTAATGATCGTGAAACTTATGATATGAATAGAGGCGTGTTTTAATGATAAACAAAAGTATATATGCAAACATACTTGAATTATACTCCCTCTGTCCCGAATTAAGGAATGACATTAATTAAGAAGTTGTTCTCTTCGTCTGATCTGAATGTTTCTGATCTGATTTTTTTAAGATCTGATCTGATCTTAATTTTTATGATCTGATCTGAATCTTTCTGATCTGATCTGAATCTTTCTGATCTGATCTGATCTTAATTTTCTAAACCGGTATATAATAATATTAATACTAATAATAAAAATTCTAATAATAATATTAATAATAATAATTATAATAATAACAATAAATAATAATATCAATAATAATTATATTAAATTAATAATAATAACTATTATTATTATAATTATAATTCTCTAATAATAATAATAATTAATAATAATAATAATAAAATAATACTAATAATAGTAATAATAAGAATAATAATAATAGTAATAATAAAAATAATAAATAATAGTAACAATAGTAATACTACTACTACTACTAATATAATATAATCGATAATAATAGAATGTTTCCAATTTGCTATGATCTAATCTGAATCTTTCTGATCTGATATGAATCTTTCTGATCTGATCTGAATCTTTCTGATCTGATCTGAATCTGAATTTTTCTGATCTGATCTAAATAAAATAAGAATAAGCAATAAGTAATAAGAATAAGACGAATAGAACAACACCTAAATGTTGCTTGCTTTTTACACTTTTGTCTATCTTCCTAAAAGTAGATGATGGAAAAAGTAAAAGTAAGTGTAAATTTGTCATTTTATTTTTATTTACATACATAAAATAGAAAGTGGAAAACCATTTTGAGACAACCAAATTAGGAAATTTTGCAAATCAAATTGGGACAGAGGGAATATGTGTCACACTTTTGGTTAGGTTATCACATACGTAATATTATGTATGTATATATCTACGTAGAAATGGAACGAATTAAAATATCGATTATATGTAGTAATTCTTTAACTATATTTTTATGTTTTATATAAAAATAGACTGTGTTTGGATATTATTATTAAATTTACTATATTTGACAAGTACATAAGCAATAAAAAAATCGTATATATTTGACCTGAATTATACTTCCTCCGTTTCAAAATTAAAGTCACACTTTAATTGCACAAAGGTTAAGATTTTTTTTACTGAAGGGTAAATTTTACTGCAAAGTACAATGTTTTGACATTGTTTGACACTGTTTTGCACTGTATTGATAAATTTGTTTACCAAATAAGGAAGTGTAACTTTGTTTTGAAACATCTAAAAAAGGAAAGCATGACTTCATTATGAACAGAGGGAGTAATTGAATGATTAAAGTTTTCATTTTGTTTATGCTAGCTCATGAATTAGTAATTGCTTCCAATTCCAATAAAAAAGTGCCACATTCATTCTCTTTCAAATCTTTTAACCAACGCAGTATATATACCATTTTAAGCTACCTTATCAAACTATTCTCACGTACTATGCCTATATATTTTTGTTTTATATACGGAGTACCATTTTAAATTTACATATTTCGTCCCAATGAGTTTGTCTTATACTACACGGAGTACTTAATTTTGTATTCCCTTCGTTCCATTATAGCTTCCAACTTTCTTTTTTCGTTCGTTCCAATTAAAATTTTTACTTTCCCTTTTTTGTAAAGAATTTGTAGTTCACAACATTTCTCTCTTCTCTGCACAACTCTCCATCACACAATACCCATTATCTTAAATTGTGTGCCAAATCTATTTGGAAGTTATAATAGAAACGGAGGTAGTAATACTTTAATTTGATGTTTACATTAAAATTCAGTTTTACTTATTTTTATTTAATCAAATGAATATCTTTTGTTATTCAAATCTTAGGGTGTAGCTAACATCAATAATAAATCATTGTGATAGACGCGGCCGTCTCTAGGGTTGATCCCTAGGAGTTTCTTCTGAGACAGTCACCTAGGAGCGGATTTCAACGCACGCAACGAGTTTCCGAACATCGCTAAGGGCGCAAATCGGGTAGGGTTGTGTGCGGACTCAATTACCAATCAATGAAGGTGGCTTCCAAGCCATCAACCGAGAACAAGGTGATGGCAGGAGAGCAGCGGTGAACAGGAGGACTAATCGGGAAGGGTAGATGCTCTATCGGAGATGGCTGGGCAGTGAGCAGGACGGATGGGAGGCAGGGCAAGAGGAATGTACTCCGATTGGTTGATGCTTCGATCCACTCCGCGTCAACAATCATAGCGGCGATTCGGCCTCCACCTGAACCACCACCAGGGGTTGAACGAGGTGCTAGGGTTCAAGAATTTTATTTTGGGTTCTTTAGATTTCTTCATGTTTCACTTTTATTTGGATTTTTACTCTATTTTGGTTGTGCCGTGTTTTTTCGGCAAGAAAACTCTAGAACTTAAAACATGTGATTTGAGTCTGGTTTGCAAGTCCTTGGCTCAGTTAAGCCCAAAGCGGGATCAGCGAATCTAATTGCTTCTATGGAGGTGATTGATTCTAAGTCTGATTCTAGGGCGGATTACAGACATAAGCCTTGTTGTCATTTTGTAACCTGTTTTACTGTTTATGTTTTGTTATCATAATTTAACCCACCTTCTTCCAAAAAAAAATCTCAGAGTGTACCTCGTATATATCTGTTCTAATTAAAATCTCAAATATAACTTTTAGGTAGTAAATTGACGTTATATAGGTATATAGATAATTACATTACATTTATTTTATTTTAGAAATAATCACAGATATATGAATAGTATAGTGCATCAGTGCATGGAGTAAATAAAAATACCAGCTTTCCATGAAGACTTTGTCATGATTCATGAGCAAGAATGGCGCCATAGAAGCGCCGTCGGAGTTCTTAGTCAAATACTTGCATACTGGGGCAAGGCTATAGAGCCGCTCCGCCCTGCCGTCAGGGAGGGTCCGGAAAGAGCAATTCAAGACAGAGTGGGAGCAGAGCAGCCGGAGAATCCGGTCCAGCATGACGGCTGCGTCCGGGTTAGTTGTGGGGAGTTGAGCCGCCAGCATAGAAGGGGAGACGGCTGCTCCCGGCCCGGCTTTAGCCATCAGCTCCAGCAGGTCCAGCTCCACCGCTGCCTTCAGCACCATCGGAAGCACTGCAGCGGTTGCTAGCTGCAACGCGAATAAGCTGTCGTCTTCCTCGCCGCCGTCCCACTCGGCTCGGCTCCTCAGCAGCTGGCTCCCTTTTCCCGTCGAACCCATAAGATGGAAACTCTTGGACAAATTAAGGAGCCGTTCGGAGATGATCTAGAGTTGTGAGAGCTAGATTGATCACTTTCTTGTCATTATATAGGTTCCAATTTCGGAAATAGAAATGGGGTAGTATAAATTCTTGAAATGTCAATTCAATTTGAGTTTCATATTATATCGGTAAAGTAAAATTATACTCCCTCCAGTTCTTATTAAAGTTCCCACTTTCCTTTTTGAGATGTCCCTTATTTAAGTTCACACTTCCATTTTAGGAAACAAAACAGTGCAAAACAGTGTCAAACAGTGCCAAACAGTGTCCAAACAGTGCACTTCACAGTAAAGTCAAATTCATTTTCTTAATACGTGTGAAGTCAAACTGAGAACTTAAATAAGAACCGGAGGGAGTAAAAATTAAGGAGCCGTTCGGAAATGATCTAGAGTTGTGAGAGCTAGATCGATCACTTCCTTGTCATTATATAGGTTCCAATTTCGGAAATAGAAATTGGGTAGTATAAATTCTTGAACCGTCAATTCGGATATGTTTGGTGTTTCTTCCATCAATCATCCGGATCTACGGAGGGAGGTCTGCTCCAGGCCTCTTCCTTTCTCCAGTCATTCTGAAAAAAGCTCTCGTCCCTCTCCTTATCATAAACAGTATAAAAATTTATACTACCCCATTTCGGAAATTGAAATGGGGTAGTCGAATTTCATATTATATTGATAAAGTAAAAATAAAGTAAAATTGACACAATTTTTAAAACACGTAAATTTGATCAAATTTAAAATGAGACAATTTTGTTTAATATGAGACATTTTTTATGGGAGTAATACTCAATTACTACATCCGTCATGTTCAAAATGATATGATTATTTAGATAATAATAAATATATATGCTAATTTTTGTATATTTTGTGAAATAGTTTTGATGATTCATATAATAAAATAGTTATCATAACATAGTTGTTTTTTTAATGTTTGATAATTAAGTATAAAAGATAAAGTATACAAATTAAAATAGACCCAATTAATAAAATAGACAAATTGTTAGAGCTGTGTAGTTTGCAAATTGGAATAACTCCAAAAAGACTTGAGAAGAAGCAACGAAACAAATAGTCTATAAATTACTAGTCATGCAAATGCCATGCATGCTTTCAATGACACATGGCTAGCAAGAGACAATTATCTTCATGTGGGAATACATCTGTCAACTACATGTTCTAAATATTACTTACTCCGTTCTCATTGGACTTTGTCAACTTTTCTTTTTTGGTTGTCGCAAAAAACTATGCCAATTTCCTATTAAAACAACTAATTTGTGATTCTGCGTATTTCTTTCTCCTCTGCACAAATCTTAACCACGCATTTTTTACTATTCTTATTTCTCACTTACTTTGCACTTGACAAAGTCCACCGGGACGGAGGTAGTATCAACATGCTAGCTAGTTATCATAATTGCTAAAATATATTTAGGCAATATTTTTTATTTGAAAAGAATAAAATCATCTTATATTAATAAAATCATGGTTTTAAGGATTGAGAGTAAAATCAAATGGTTGAGAATAGGACCAAATTTTATCGTATAAACCTAAATAAGATGGGGAAATTGGAAAAGAATAATCCAATCTTTACCTGGTCTTCATTTAACGGTCTGATTTTTCAAATATCCAATAAAAATCCAATCTTTGCGAGTGCGTATACCGTGCAACGGGTGCATGGTGAGCACCATGCACCCATTGAATATTATTTTCTCTTTTTTAAAAAATGGTAATAACTTTTTTATTTTTGATCCGTTTTTTTATAAAATTTATATCAACTTTTTTTATTTTTCATGATCTTTCAAATGAGACCAATATTGTCTATGTAATTTTAACATATTAACATTTGCGTATAAAATATGTAACTTTACGTGTTAAAATATGTAACTCACGTTCAGTCAGTCCAAATGCAACTCGTGTGTATAAATATGTATCTCTACGTGTAACAATATGTAACTTTACGTAAAAAAAACATGTAACTCGCGTTCAGACATGTCAAATGCAACTCGTGTGTGTAAATATGTAACTCGCATGTATAATAATGTAACTTTACGTGTAAAAATATCTAACTTTACATGTGAATATATGTAAGTCGCGTTCAGGCATGTCAAATGCAACTCGTGTGTATATATATGTAACTCGCTTATAAAAAGATGTAACTTGCTTATAAAAAGATGTAACTTGCTTATAAAAAGATGTAACTCGCTCATAAAAAGATGTAACTCGATGTATTATCAAATGTAACTGAGGCCACTGATCCACTCCTAAACAGATTCGATCTTTTATTTCACAAACCTATCATCTCCCAAACAGATTCGATTTTCCTTATAATTCAATACTCATTAATATAATAGTTCGATAATTTCTTAAAATTACATAAGCAATATTGGTCTCATTTGAAAGATCATGAAAAATAAAAAATGTTGATATAAATTTTATAAAAATCGGATCAAAAATAAAAAAGTTATTATCATTTTTTAACAACAAAAACAAAAAAAACAAGACTTGTTGCGTCATTTTGCAACCGGGCACCGATTGCACGGTATAATTTGCCATCTTTGCCTACCATAGATCCTCACGACTTGTTAGCGGCTGGGGCAGTCAAAATTTTAAAACAACGGTCAATTGACTTGTGAAATTAACAAACCCGCGAACGGTCAATGTTTAAAACGACAATTGCCCCAATTAAACCCTTGTTTTAATGAAACCCGCCTTTGACAAACGACATTTGGACGCTGTTTGAAAGAGGATGACTAAATGGAGCCTTAGTGGCAGACGACGTTCATTGCCGGCGGCACCATTGATTACAGGTATAACTCATTACATACTTGCTCGTATGTAATTTAGCTGCAGAAGACGATCATTGTCGTTGTAATTTAGCTGAAGATTTCATCAATGAATTAGCTTCATTAGCTCCATAACATTTCTTAACCAAACTAGTTCTTATAAATAGGTCTGTTTCAGTTCCATCCTATTTTCCAAATTGTTGTTTTAAAAAAACAAGAGTCCACTTCAATTTGTACTAGTTTTAGTCTATATATCTGTAAATTAATGGTATGTATACATGTATATCTTTAATGTCAAAATAAATGTAATTTGGACTTGCTTTAATGATTACATTAAAGGGTTAAACCATCCTTACAAATATTTGAGAATTGTGTGAAAGTTATATTTATATATCATTTCATTGTTGTGTAGGTTACGATCGGTGGAATGGATACAATAAGCTTGACATTCTGGCATGGAGGTTTGTTTAGGAAGATAAATAATAAACTAGTTTATTTGAATGGACATAGTATAAGTTTTGAGATAGATACCGATGAACTATGTTGGTTTTGGCTTGAGGAATTGGCAAAGAAATGTGGGAGTTACAATGTCATTGACGAAATCTTCTACTTGATTCCTGGGATGACTTTGGATAAAAGGCTAAGGAAGGTGTATAATGATAAAGAGGTGCTAGAGATGTCTCAAATACTACTGCACTCTAGGTCACTAGAAATGTATGTGCTGCATGGGATTGATGAAGCAGACATAGTGGAGATGTTACCATAAAAAACCGGGGCACCAAATATCTCCCAAAGAGGTGTAGACGATGAGGTTAACACACTCTTTGATGATGGTGGGCAAGCTGGACATAAAACTGGAGCACCAAATGTCTCCCAAGGAGGTGAAGATGATGAGGTTCACCCAAACCGTGTTGAAGATGAAACACAAACTGAACCTGAAATAGAAGAAGAGGATGATGAAGAAGCCGAGTGTGACTCGGGTCACACAGAAGATGAAGACTTCAGTGAAACGAGTTAGAGGTTAGTGATGATGAATATAGAGTTGCAAAGAATAGGGTGAAAGAATGTAACAACAAACTGTTAGAACTTGCAAAAAAACTTCAGAAAGAGGCTGAAGAAAGTAAGCTAAATGGGCAAAAAAGTTCTCCAGAAGACGAGAATTGCGAAAAAGAAGCTGAGTTTTGAAGTGAGTACGAGGGAAGTGATGAAGACATTAACACTCCATGATAAGTTCATATTTCAACACGCATTTGATGTGTGTTGGAGTCGGATTTTGATGGCTTTCCTCGCTTTTAGGCGTCATAAGTGTCATATTTAGCTCAAGTCATGTTAGTCAGGTGTTGGAACGAGTTTTGGCATTCTAAAGTTGAGATCAGGTCATTGAGAGCCCGGAATCGGAGCTTTAGGAGTGATCGGGATGAGTAGAGGCATGTTCGAGAAAGAATTCGGAATTTTGAAGGTCACCGGGAGGTTCGCGATGAAGTTTCAATAAAGAAAGAGCTTTTGGATCAATCACAGGAGTAAACGGGAGCATCTTGGAGCAAGAAATAAGGAAACATGAAGAAAAGTGCCACGCTCGCCGAGCGTGGCTGGTACGCTCGCCGAGCGAGCGAGGCAGAGAGTTAAAAGAGAAATTTCGTATCCACGCTCGCCGAGCGTAATTCCGTGACACGGGCTTGCTCCGCACGCTCGGACGCCACGCTCGCCGAGCGTGGACGCCGAGCGCGGCTACGGGAGTCCTAAATCAGCCCAAATTTGATTGTTTTCTATAAATATCACCCCCTAAACACAATTAAGGGGGGGGATGGAACTTTAGAGAGAGATTAAGGACGAGATTAGAGAGCTTTTTCAGCCAGGTTTTTCAATTCCTTAACATTCTTTGTAAATTCCTACTTTTTGATGAATGACAATTAATTCTATTTATCCCAATTCTATTGATTCTTCAATTATGAATAGGGAGTAGTTTTAATTAGGGATTTGGGGTTGATGAAGGGGTTAATCATGATGTATGGTTAGGTTCTTGATGGTGTAAATTGCATGAATGCCGTTTAATTTGTGTTTGAATAATTTAATTGATATCTTTTGTAACCTAGAATGGCCACTAGAATTACAATTGCTTATAGAATAAATTAAGAGAGATCTAATTTGTTCTAGAACACATTCACACACACTTAATCGTTCGCTAAGAGATTAGTAGCGATTAAGGGGCCGTAAGCTCGCTCGTTTTGGCAATAATTTAGGATCCTGTCGCATGAGAGATCAGTCTGGTCCCCTAAATTATTGTACTCTACGCCGCGAGAGCGGTAAG